CTTGAAGCCACATGTGGCCTTCTAGATCCTTAAGTGTGGCCTTTGGATTGAATCCTTGGCCTTGAGGCCACAGGTTCCCCATGCCTGGGCTATCCTGTCAAGATCTTTTGGCATCCTGGCTCTGTCATCCAATGCACTAGTCACCCCTCTCAACTTTGTGTCATCTGCAAATTTGATATGTATCATTTATGACTTTATCCCAGTAACTGACAAAACAAGTTTAAAAATACGTGCCAAGCAAAGATCTCTGGGGTGCCCCACTGAAGACCTCCCAAGATGCTATCTTTAATAACTACTCTTTGGGTCTGAACACTTAATCAGTTTCAAATATGTCTAACTGTACCTTTTACCCAGACCACATTTCCTCATCTAATCCACAAAAATACCATAAGAAAGTCTGTATTATTCTTGTGGTCAAGATGGAGAGATGAGATTAGACAATAATAAAATTAGTTGCAATCAGGGCTGGTTGCTAAATTTAGGTAAACCAAATTACTATGCTGAACTAAATAGACTGCTAAAATGTAGGTAGACTATCTGCAGCACTTTCCCGATTTTGTAAGTTGGCCAAAAGTTAAGTGAGATTAATTTGATATGACATGTTTCTGATGACACCATCCTGGTTTTTTCTGATCTCTACTTCCTTTTCTACATATTACTAACCATCTGCTTCATAAGGCATTCTAGAATGTTTTTTACAGGAATTAAAGTAAAACCTGGAGTGTACACATTTTAGTCTCCTTCCTGTTTTTGTTTTTTGTGGGGTTTTTTTTGCTAAGCAATGGGGTTAAATGACTTACCCAGGGTTATACAGCTAGTAAGTGTCAAGTGTCTGAGGCCTGATTTGAACTCAGGTCCTCCTGATCCCAGGGCCAGTGCTCTATCCGTTACTCCACTTAGCTGCCTCCTCTCTTTTCTTTCCCTTTTTTTTTTTAAATTGAGATGTTATCATCTAGTACCATGGTACCTCTGTTCTCTACAATCTTTCAGCAGTCACATCCACTGTTTTTTTCAGTACCTATCTGGGATATAGGTTGGCTAGGCGTGGTGATTTTAACTTATCGAGGGCAGGTAAGTAGTTAAAACCTTGCACAAAACAGATGCTTAGTAAATGCTCATTAATTGACTGACTGACCTATTATCCACTTTTTCTCTAGTCTTTTCTAGCCTAAAGATTATTCTATTTGGGACATATAGTCAAAATAAGAGTTGACTGAAAAAAGTCTGCCTTCTCTCTATTATGTTTCCATTTTCCAATCCACCCTAAGAACACTTCTTTGATCCTCTCCTTTTACAAAATAAAAAATTCTTGTCATCCTCAGCTTTTTTTGAGATTCCCAACTTGAGCAGCTCAATTCCACATCATTCTTATAGGAACTGGCTGCACTATTGTCTCTTTCTTCCTACTTACAACTCTTATCTCCATATTTTATACATGTCTTTTGAAAATCTTGGGTTGGCAGTTACACATCTACACATCTACATTGGTTTGTTGAGACAACTCTCTCTTTTTCCTTGTCAAAGGAATTATTTTTCTTTATGTCTTCAGAATTTCATTCTTGAGAGCTTCTCCCCAATTTTAGGCCGTGGGATTGGATATATCCTTTTTTCTGAACACTCTGATCTCTGCCCTCCAAAAATTCTGGGCTCATGTCAGACTTTGCCCAGATTTCCCTTCCTTCTCTATCACAAATTCTAAGATGGACCGGCCACTTCCTGCTAAGTCTCACCATTTCTGCCCCAGCAACAAGTTCTTAAGTCTTATTGAGGAGAACCTGGTCCATGCTAGCATTTCCCTTTACTGGTTGCTTCCCCCATCTTTCGAATGATTGAATTATGATTAAGTCCAGCCAAGAATATAATAACAGCTCTCCTTTTGGCAGAGGGAGAGAGGCCTCACAGATGGCCAGATAATTGAAGTCTCCCATCAGTACTATCTAAGGCCTTAATGCCAGGCTTCAACCTATTTTTCAAATGTTTCATGTATTTGGGCATCCTGTCCAGGTGGTCTATAATGCAAGGGTCAAATACGGGCTGCAGGCCTCGCTGCTTACAACATTTCCCAGTAGATTCAAACCAGATTAAAATGTAATTGGGAAATATTTAACAAAATAAATAAAAATGCAATAGAACACATACAATGTTACTACGTGATTTTCTAAGTCAATATGAGGCCAGCAGCCTCATTTCTATTTGATTTTGATACTACTGGTCTATAGTATTCTTAAGATCAGTTCTGCTGATTATTTGGTATGAATCCTGGCCTCTCCAGGCCTCAGTTTTTTCCTCTATAAAACAGACTATATGAATAAAATTATATATGATTTTGTAAGGTCCCTAACAGCTTTCAGGCCCAAAGATCCATGCAATGTCCCTTGTAAGGTGGAAATAACACAGATATAATGGGCCATAGGTGTAGCTTTTGATGATCAAAGAAAGACAGAGATAGGAGTAATAAGGAAAAAAAAAAGCAGGACTGGGTTAGGAACAAAATGAGGGATGTTTGGGCTTCGTTTTGTCAATTCGACTCAAGAAATATTTATTAACTACCTACTTCGTACCAGGCACTGTGCTAGGAACTCAAGATACAAAGACAAAAGAAAACAATTCCTGCCCTCAAAGAGCTTACATTATAGTGGAACACGGAGGTCGAGGGGGAATAAGCACACCGGTAAGTAAATAAAAATATGTATGTACAAAATAAATATAAAGTAACTTCAGGGGGATGCTATCATTGGGAAAAAAAAATCAGGGAAGGCCTATTGTAGGAAGTGGCATGTGAGCTGAGCCTTGAAGGGAGCTACAGATTCCAAGAGGTGGGTGAGGAGAGAGAGCATTCCAGGGCAAATCAGGGGCATGAAATGTTGAGAGTGTAAAGGGGAGGAATGTGCCATCGGTCTGGAACAATGGATTGGAGCCAGGCTGTGAAAGGCTTTCAACACCAAGGAAGGCTGTATTTTACCTTTCAGCGGCAGCATTAAGGGAGCACTGAAAGGTTTCTTGAGCGATGGGAGTTATGTGGTCAGAGCTACGCTTTAAGAGTCTCCATTTGGCCGTTGTGGTGGAGGATATATCAGAGAGAGGAGAGAGACAGGCAGCAGGCAATAAGAAACAGAGTAACGGTGGTGTGAATGGAACAGGGGGACCAGTGACTCTGAGCTTGTGCACCCGGTACTTTTGACAAATAGGGAAATCAGGAGAAGGGATAGGTTGAGGGGGACAAGAAGTTGGAATCTGGGACTGTCCCGCCAAGTCCTGGTGTCATGTCGTAGAAACATGGCTGGGCAGCCTCATGACTATTAATAGGGGCCATCATAAAGCTGCCCCAGGCTAGGAAGGAGGCCTACCCTGGGGGTCAGTGACCCAAGATGACTCCTTGAGGTTAGACAAATTTTATTGTTGAAGCATCTTGTGTGATATAGCTGCCCAGGAAAGGGACTGTCATCCCTCACAGAGACATTAGCCAGCGCAACTCATGGCAATGGCCCCTGTGTTGGCAAAGACGTACTAGTGCTCAAACAGGACTTGGTTTTCCTGCTCTGATTCTTCTCTTGGCAAGAGATGACCTCAGCCTGAGCAGGGAGGCCCCAGCTCCTCATGGGTAGATCATGCTCCTCTTCTTCATGTGCCGCCCCCATCTTCTGGCCTCAGAGGCCAGTTTGGGAGCAGGAGGTAGCTCTTGGGAGAATGAGAAGTATGGGAGAAGAGGAAAAGATGTTCAAACATTCAGCATCTGGACAGAGATGAAAGGCAGGCCGCACTAGTGTTTTCTGGGAGCAAAGCCAGCTTGGATCCTCAGAAAGAGCAGTGTGGGGAGGTGAGAGCAGGGGGAAGTATGTCCAGGCTTTCCCTCCTTGGCATTGGAGCACACATAGGTGCCACGTTGTCAGACCCAAAGAGAAGATGAGGAAAGTATAGATGGAATCGTAAGGCACTGTAGGCATGGGATAGGCCCTTGATATGAGAGATATTCCAGTCCAGTAGGATTTTGCCATGGATTCTCAGAATCCTGGGCAAGGGTCCACATCTTTGCCACCTCCAGCCCTTGAATCTTCCAGGTAGGGAAAGTGTGGTTCACTTGTTGGCAGCCAGAGTAGAAGCCAGATATCTCAGAAGCCTGGCAGGTCTAGAGGACCCCCAGTGGGGATCTCTTGGGAAAACATTAGACTCTGAGTTCTAGCCAGATACCTTCTGGCATAGTCCAGCCACAGACTGTGGATGCAGGAGAGGCTGGGAGGAAAGAAGCCATCTCCGAGATTCTGTGAAGGCCTTGATCTCAAAAATATCTAACTCTTTTCCAACTCTTTAAGAAAAAAAAAAGTCAAGTCATCCCTGACATGGCTGAGGAGCAGCTTCCATTGACAGTTAAGAGGTTGGATGGCCAATGTAGTAGACTGAAGCATTAAGAGGACAATGGGGAGAAGTGTGGAGCACCTTTACTAGGTAACACTGTAGATCTAGCAGAAACTTCCTTCTGGAAAAACATTATCCAGGGCAGCTAGGTAGCGCAGTGGATACAGCACAGGCCCTGGAGTCAGGCTGACCTGAGTTCAAATGTGGCCTCAGACGCATAATACTTAGTAGCTGTGTGACTGGACAAGTCACTTAACCCCAATTGCCACACACACACACACACACACACACACACAACACACACACACACACACATACACACAAAACCATCATCTAAGCACTAAGGGAAGATTTGCTTCAAGGGCCCTCCACACACACCCCAGTGACCCTCTATGTGCAGCGTGCCTACGGCTTAAAGAATTTAGGTGCCATGCCTTTGTCAGCTTGTCTTTCTGCCACGATCCAGAAGTCAGCAAGACAAGAGCAAGAGAATAATCCAGGTCATTGAAGGTATCTCCAGAGCTCTTCCATGATCCTGTTCACTGGATCCACCCACTTAGGCTTCCATGTCAACCCTTCTCCTCTCTAAACTGGTGTGGGCATTCCCTGTTGAAAAGGTCCACGGAACTCAAGGTCAACTCTCCCAATATTTTCCAATTTGGTTAGAAAATTAGGTCCTTTTCCATTTTACAACAATGCTGCCCAGGCTTGGGAAAACAGGGACATGTACACACATAAGCATACACACGTTAACATGCACACACACATCCATGTCCCCATTGAATGAAATAATAAAATTACTGAAAAGCATCTTTTGGGCCCACATCTCCAGGTCATACTGGAGAAATCCTGTAGCTTCAGTCACAGGTAGAGCCTTCATAGTCAATGCTGTGAGATGGTCTGGCTTGTCATGCCATTTATTTAGAACTTCTGGCCCCGCACCTCACCCTGAGAATAGAAGAAAAGTAAAGTACAGAGCAGGTTAGAAGGGCACAACAGGGCCTGGAATTTTCCTTGCCCTCCTTAGCAGGGATTTGTTCCCTGCCTCCCAGGAGAGAAGATAGTGGGCCCCATTTCAATTCAACTCTAGAAATACTTCTTTAACACTTACTATGTGCCAGGCTAGTGCTAGGCAGGGTAAAAACTACAACCGAAAAACAGGCCCTGCCCTACATTCAACTATACACAAACAGGTAAATACAAGATAATTTGAGGAAAGGGAAAGAATTTGGGAGAGATTAGGAAAGGCTTCATGAAAGTGGCTCATAGCAGAGCCTTGGGAAAAGCTAGCAGGGATTCCAAGGAGTTGAAATAAGGAGGATAGTGGTGCTTTCTAGGCTTAGAGAGTAGTAAAGGCAAAGGTAAGGGGATGGGAGGTATTCCATATTTTAGGACACTGTAAAAGTGACCACATTAAAGTATAAATGTCCATTTGGTTAGGATCCATGCCGAGGAAAGGGGCTCCTTAGATGTCTGGGTGGCCTGTCTCATGCCCCTAGTTCTTTCACTTGTCATTCTCCTACCTCTGAGACATTGGAAGGGCTAGGTATAGGGGTGTGCTAGTATATGTTTAACAACTGGCTCTCCCCTCCAAAAAAAAAACACCCCAACAACAAAAAGCAGGTATAAGACATTTTTAAACCTCATCTGCATCGTTAACATTTTCTTCATCACTTTCTTAAGTCTGGACAATTGACAAAACAATCAAGCAAGCTCTAATCTGCCTATTTCTGAGGTGTAAATGCTCACCAGAAAATTTAACAATCCACTAGCATGAGCTGGCTCCAGCACACCCCTGGCTGGGGATGGTTTTTCCCTTTTGACCACTGGAGACAATAAGGCACAGAGACAGCAAATACTCTGTCTGATCACACAGCAAGTTGGGGCAGAAACCAGATCTCATGACTCTTAGCCTCCTTCCTGGACAATACTGAATTTCCAGCACAGAAAGGTAAACTCCATAGCAAGCCTCACCTTTCATGGCCCAGGGGTGGGGAACCTGCAGCCTCGAGGCCACATGAGGCCCTCTAGGTCCTCAATTTTGTTCTGTGAAGAGTTCTGCACTTGAGGACCTACAGGGCCTCATGTGGCCTCGAGGCTGCAGGTTCCCCACCCCTGGGCCATCCTAACTAACAATGTAGGTGTTGGGCCTGTGGGCCTGCAAAGGACAAAGATGACATTTCAGGTTAGCACAAAAGCAGGGTCCCACCATATTTTCCTAGTAGGGAAGCAATGAAAGGAGAATGGTCTTTAAGTGTGATGAATCCTTAAATTTTTGCCAACTCTATGTTTTGTAACTTGTTAAGCCACTATCATGTAATATAGCATATGATCATTTGAGGGTTTTGTCTTATCTTCTTTTAAGACTGAAAATTTCACAAATGCAGAAACTGGCTCTCATCTCAACTTTGTATACACTCTAGTGCTCAGCTCTACACACGATAGTACATCATACATTTCTGTTAAACTGAATTTTATTTTAACCCCACCATTTTTCAGTCATTGTATTATGGCAGCATGAGGTAGGTGGCATAGTGGATAGAGCACTAGACTTGGGAGTCAGGAGACAAATTAAAATGTGCCTTCAGACTCTGACCAATTCATTTAACTTCTATCTGCCTCAGGTTCCCCATCTGTAAAATGGGGAAAATAAAAGCATTTGCTTCTCGGGGTTGTTGTGAGGATCAAAGGAGATAATATTTGTAAAGTGCCCTGTAAACTAAAGTTTAAAAAGTGCTACATAATAATAAATAGTAACTATAGTAATAATAATAAATGTTGGTCAGATTAAGGGGGGCAGAGTTTTCTGTCCTCACCTAGTCCAGGAGTGCTAGCAGAGTACCTAGAGGTCCAGAACTGACAGGATTAAAGATTAAAGACTAGTACCCATGTTCTCTTGGTTTTGCTCATTTTGTTCTTCATTATTTCATGCAAATCTCCATTGATCATTAAGCTCATCATTTCTTTTTTTAAAATTTTATTAATTTATTTTGATTTATCAACAATCACTTCTATATTCTTTTGAGTTGAAAATTTTTCTCCCACTTCCTTCCCACCACCCTCCCCAAGATGGCACACAATCTAATATAGGCTATACATTTACATTCCTATAAACATATTTTCACATTAGTGAAGTTGTAAGTAAAAATTAAAACCAATAGGAGAAGCCATCAGAAAGAGGAAACAAAACTCAACAGAAGAGAAAAAAATGATAGCGATTCAACTTCCATAGTTCTTTCTTTGGATGTGGATAGCATTTTCTATCACGAGGCCTCTGGAGATGTCTTAGATCCTTGTATTGCTGACAAGGGTTAAGTTTATCAATATTAGTCATTGCACAACTTGGCTGTAATTGTGTACAACGTTCTCTTGGTTCTGCTCACTTCACTCAGCATCAGACCATATAAGTCTTTCCAGGTTTTTCTGAAATCATCCTGTTCATCATTTCTTATAACACAATAGTATTCCATTACATCCAAATACCACAACTTGTTCAGCCATTCCCCAACTGATGGGCATCCTCTCAATTTCCAATTCTTTGCCACCACAAAAAGAGCTGCTATGAATATTTTTGTACATGTAGATCCTTTTCCCATTTGTATGATCTCTTTGGGATATAGCCCTAGAAGTGCTATTGCTGGGTCAAAGGGTATGCACATTTTTATAGCCCTTTGGGCATAGTTCCAAATTGTTCTCCGAGATGGTTGGATCATTTCATAACTCCACCAACAATGCATTAATGTTCCAATTTTCCCATATCTTCTCCAGCATTTATCATTTTCCTGTTTTGTCATGTTGGCCAATCTGATAGGTGTGATGTGGTACCTCAGAGTTGTTTTGGTTTGCATTTCTCTAATCAATAATGATTTAGAGCATTTTTTCATATGACTATAGATGGCTTTAATTTCATCTGAGAACTGTCTGTTAGTATCCTTTGACCATTTATCAATTGGGGAATGGCTTCATCATTTCTTATAGTACAACAGTACTACATCACAATCACATGCCACAGCTTGTTCAGCCATTCCTCAATTGATGGACATCCCTGAAATTTGCAGTTCTTTGCCACCACAAAGAGATCTGCTATAAACATTTTAGAACATGTAGGTTCTTTCACTTTTTTTGTAATCATCTTTGGAAATAGATCTAGTAGTGTATTGCTGGGTCAAAGAGTATAGGCAATTTAATAATTCTTTGGGCATAACTCCAGATTGCTCTCCAAAATGGTTGGATGAGTTCATAATTCCAGCAACAATGAATTAGCTTCCCAATTTTTCTTTGTCACTTTCCCCTTCAATCATTTTAGACAATCTGATAGGTGTAAAATGATATCTCAAGGTTGCTTGAATTTACATTAGAGCCATTAGAGCATTTTTTTCATCTACCTATAAATTGTTTTGATTTCTTCATTGGAAAACTGCTTGTTCATATCTTGACCATTTATCAGTTGGGGAATGACTTGTATTCTTATAGATTGGACAAAGTTCTTTATATATTTGAGATATAAGACCTTTACCTGAGAAACTGTCTATAATAATTTTCCCCCAATTTTCTGCTTTCCTTCTGATCTTGGCTACATTTGTTTTATTTGTACAAAAATTTTTCAATTTACTGTAATCAAAATTATCCATTTTATACCTAACTTTGCTCTCTGTCTTTTTTAATTCATAAATTTTTTGCCTATCCATAATTCTGGTAAGTATTATGTTCCATGTTCTTCAAATTTTCTTGTAATATCTCTCTTTATATCTGGGTCATGTATCCATTTTGACCTTATCTTGGTAAATGGTGTAAGATATTGGTCTATACCCAGTTTCTCCATACTGCTTTCCAGTTTTTCCCAACAATTTTTACCAAATAATGAATTCTTATCCTAAAATCTTAAGTCTTTATACTTGTTTATACTATATTTTCACATTAGTGAAGTTGTAAGTAAAAATTAAAACCAATAGGAGGAACCATCAGAAAGAGGAAACAAAACTCAACAGAAGAGAAAAAAATGATAGCGATTCAACTTCCATAGTTCTTTCTTTGGATGTGGATAGCATTTTCCATCACGAGGCCTCTGGAGATGTCTTAGATCCTTGTATTGCTGACAAGGGTTAAGTTTATCAATATTAGTCATTGCACAAATACAAGGTTATTATATTTATTTGCTGCTATAAATTGTATGTCTATTTAGTTCCATTGATCTACCTTCCTATTTCTTAGACAGAATAGTGAAGAGTGAAATCAGCAGAACCAAGAGAACATTGTATACAGTAACAACAATATTGTTTTAAGAATGACTCTGGGCAAATAAGTCATTTTGACTATTATAAATACCCAAATTAACTATGAAGGACATATGAAGAAAGATGCTATCTGCATCCAGAGAAAGAAATGATAAATAGGAGTACGTATAGAATAATTTTACATATATACCTATGTGTGTCTAATGGTAGCCATCTCTGGGGCAGGGGTGGGGAGGTAAGAGAAGAAAAGGGGGGAGGAAATTTACATGATAACTTTGTTGTATATTTAAAATGAATAGCAAGTTTACATAGTGGATTTGTGATTTCAAATGCAATTATCTTTTTATTGTATTATGAAAATGCTTGTTTTATGCCATAAATTAAAATAATTAATTAATTTTAAAAAGAAAATTCATTATTATAATAAACTTATTATTATCTGTTTTATAACAAAATATACTTCATTAAATATTTAACAGTTTTCAAATGTCAAAGACAGAGAGAGAGAGAGAGAGAGAGAGACTGGTACCCAGCAAAGCTGGGGTGTGGGATTATTGAAGAGTAAGGCCTAGGGCTCAGTCATGAATACCCCACCTCTCTCTGGAGGGAACGCCTAGTTCTCTCACCTCCATTTTGCTGTAAATCCAATGAAGTACTTCTGTCACTTTGGTGTATACGCCAGGTTTGTTCCTCTGGCCACAGCCTGTGCCCCAGCTGGTCACCCCAGTGAGGTACCATCGGTTGTTCCTCTCACACACCAGTGGCCCTCCACTGTCCCCCTACAAGGAGAAGATAGTGGTCACAGACAAGGAGGGACACCAGATTCTTCCCCAGGTATCTTGGGTATCTTGCTATAGGGAAGCCTGAGTCTCCATTCCCCCATTTCCTCCCCACTCTACTCTATCCCCTGGGACATTAGGATCCACCCTCCCTTCCCACTCACCCAAACAGGAGTCACTGCCTCACCTGGCAAGAGTCTCTCCCTCCTCGGAGGTCCCCAGCACACATCATTCGAGGAGTCAGGTAATTGTCATAGACCAAATAGTTATTGCACTGCTTAAAGTCGATGAGATTGACTTGAACTTCCCGTAGGTAGGGGGAAGTCTTCTCTTCATGGAAAAAAGCGTGAGAGAAGGGAAGCAAGGGAGATGGGGAACGAAACCCAGAGTTTGATTTCCAGCCCAGCTTGGCCCAGCCCAACCTCCACAGTGCCCATGTCCAGGGAGGCCTCCTTTCATTGAGGTTTTCTAAGTATTACTGGTCCTCGTACTTGACCCTAGGGCCAAGCAAGCCCAAGTGGCTGAATGTATACTCCCCAATACACACATCTACCAGATACATTCTGATTGACATAAATGTACACACACACACACACACACACACACACACACACACACACACACACCCCCCATACTTTGATTTTGCATAAACTCATCCACAAAGCACCTTCACACACCTGCACTGATCCTCGAAAGAGTTCCATGAAGTAAGCAGGGCAACTATTCTCATTCCCATTTTACTGATGAGGAAATTAAAGTTGAATGAGATTGCCTTAGGTCACCTGACTAGTATCCTGGGAGCCTAACCCAGATCTTCTGACTCCCAATCCACTGTCATATACTACATTCACATACACATGAACCCCAAAATGTGCTCTGCAGTTACACATGCAAACACACAAAAAGAAAACCAAAATTTACACAGACATATAAACACAGACTTCTTCGATGGAGGCCAGGTGGCCACCACCCTCCTTCTGTTCCTGTCCCTCGGTTTCGCTCCCCCCCAAGATTTTCAGCCTAAGAAGCAGTAGGGCACAATCACCATCATCATCATGATAATAATTATAATTTTTTTATATTGTGTCCTAAGCATTTTGTGCAAAGCATTTTCTATCATGTTATCTTACCTTAACAACAACCTTGTGAAGTAGGTGCTGCTAGTATCCTCATTTTACAGATGAGGAAACTGAGGCAAACAGAGGTTAAGTGACTTGCCCAGACTCATACAGCTAGTAAGTGTTTGAGGCAGAATTTGAACTCAGGTCTTCCTGATTTCAAGTCCAACACTCTATTTACTGCATTTAACACCAAGGAGTTAAAACTGAGCTTCCTGGCAAGACTACTGGCTCCCTGTGGCCAGTGACCTGCAGAGGTGACTACTGCTGGGTCCTCTACCCTCCTCCTGAGGCAGATAAATTTCCCTGTAGGATACTCAAACCCATAGCTCTAGTTGTTTCCCTTGCTTTTCTAAGCTCATCACAAGATCCCTAATTAGATTCTGAGGAGTAGCCCCCCTCCCCAGTCTTATTTCCCACAGGGTATGGTCAGCTCTGTACATAGTTTACCTCTGGTTCAGGGCAGGGAATTTAGGAAGGCTGTGTCTCAGGCTGCCTGCCTCACTGCCCCCACAATCAGCCACTGCCTCAACATCATCTCTGGCTCCTTACCATCCGTCTCCTTTGTCTTGCCAAAGCCTGTGATCCAGCAGGTCTCATTGAGACTGAAGGTCTGTCCATGCATGGGGAGGCAGGCAGGATGGACGTGAGCTGCAATAAAGACGGCAAGGAATCAGCCCAAGACCAGCACTGGAGTTTGGTCGTTTGTTTTAATTTTTTCTCATAAGTATGGAATCTACCAAATGCCCTAAAAATCCTTGTTCTTCCCCACCCCTATCCCCCACAGATCTCAGAATTCTTGGGAGACCTGAGACTCACTCCTTCCCCTTTTCCCAAGCAGGTCTCATGGCTAAATACTCGTAGGCCTCCTCTCCCCTTTATCCACATACAGAATCACATTGAATTTGAGAATGGGAAAAAACCTCAGTGGCCATCTAGCCAAGCCCATAGTCATCCATACTTTGGTTTCACCCCAGTCCAAAGGTCAGTCCTTAGGTCACCAAAAGCATGACAGGATTAAGTGTGTGGTCTGTGGACACTGAGCAGCCTGCAAGGGGCTCACTCCAGTACCCTATGGCTCTCTTGTACCATACTTGCAATAGAGGGACATCTACTTGACAGAAAGCACACAGGACGTGTGTTTTATAGCCACTGGACACTTTTTGCACTCTTTTTGTTAGACAGAAGAAAGCAATAGCTTGAACTTCTGGACATCCAGGGCAATGGTCTGGTCTCCTAGGGCTGTGTCCATTCAGCTCTGGTGATGGTTTTCTCCCTTCTCCCTGGAATTAATTCCAGGCCATATGACCAGAGTAAAAGTCTTCTGATTCTATTTACGTAACTCTGACTTAGGAAAATGTAGAGGGACGAACACTGAACTGAGAGTCAGAAGATCTGGGTTCAAGGCTATACTTTGACATTTACTAATTATATGTAATCTTAGGGAAGTCATTTCTACCTCCCTAAGCCTATTTTTCAGATGAATATTTGGAAGGTAATTATTTGATCTCTAGTCCTTCCTATAATATGGTTTTGAGCATGTTAGTAGGCACTGAAAAGGTTTATTAAATTGAATTCCAATCCTAACAAACCTCTCAAGAATGGGTCCATTCCACTGTCCTTCTCTTTTATCCCTTGTGTTCCCCATAGGCAAAGTGTCTTTTCCCTCCAGGCTCCTTCTCTTCTCTTCAAATGTTTGTTTAAACCTTTCCATTACAGACTTTTCCTGCACAAGGATGAATGTTGCCCTGATGGTGGTCTGAACACGTTTCAGAGATGCCAAGCCATCACAGTCTCTTGAGACTCTCCCTCCATGCCTAAACATCAGGCCTGAGTGAGACTGAATCCCTCAAAAGGGGACCCTTAAAAATGGGAAGCACCTAGGCCAGGTTTGTGATGGTCACAGGTTCTGGGTGGGGACCCCTGGTTCACTCTATGCCCCACTTCCAGTCCCTCCATGCTCACCAGGACTCAGTTTCCTCCTCATTCCAATGGACTAATTGCAATGATTCATGGCATCATTTTCATAATTAAGGAGCCAGATACTAGCAAGTACCCCAGGCCCAAGAGCATGACAGGGGCAGGATTAACAAGGTTAAGATTCCTGGGACTCTGGCTCCACCCTAGGACCTCCTGCTAGTACAAGTGTTAGACACAGAACAGGCCCTACTCCCACCACACCTTCCATTTCTCCATCTGCATACCTTTGTAGCATCACAAGATCAAAGATCTATGGATGTAAGGCACCCCCAACCCTTTCATTTTGCAAATAAGGAGAGTAAGGCTCAAGGAAGCTAAGTAATTTGCTTATAATCATACAGGCAGTAAATGTCATTGGTAAGATTTGAACCCAGGTCCTCTCTCTCCAGAGCTACATGTTCCTCGTATCCTGTACTCTCATTTTACAGGCAAAGAATCTGAGATTTAGTTTAGTGAAGTGATTTTTCCAAGGTCACATGGCTAGCTAGTGACAGGACCAGGCCTAGAACCCAGACCTTCTGACTCCAAAGCATTCTTCCCACAACACCAGGATTGACCATGCTTCCATGGTCTTCTTTTTTCCTGTCCTCTTACCCAATTCCTTCCCATCCTTCAAAATTCAATTCAAGTGTCTCCTCCTCCATAAAGTTTCCCCTGAGTAACACAAACTACCATGATTGCTACCCCTCCTTGGAACTTCTGAAATACTTACTGCCTGACTCATTCTTTTGGTGCTTATCAAAAACTGCTTTATGTTGCTTTACTATATACATCTTTTTAAAAAATTAAATTCTATTTTATTTTCAAGTCTTCATTTTCTCCCTTCCACTCACATACCCCTCTCCCCACCATAACCCACTCTTGAAAGAGAAAGAAAAACAAAACCAGTTACAAACACTTAGTTAAGCAAAACAAATTTCTGCGTTGACTATGTCCAAACCGAAAAAAAAAAAGAAACCTCAATCTGCACTATCTTTCTATCTGGAGAAGGGTGGTATACTTCATCATGGTATTGTGTAATACACATGTCTTTCCAGACATTCTGAAAAGCAAAAGTGGAATTATACCCCCCAAAAAAGTCACTGTCACAAAATTGTTCATATTATGTCCCAAAGAGAACAGAGAAAGACAAAAAGGACCCATAGGTACAAAAATATTCATAGCAGTTGTTTTTGTGGAATGTCAAAGGATTGGAACAAATTATAGTATATGAATATAATAGAATGCATTAGAAATGATGAAAGAGATAGATTCAGAGAAACCTGGAAAGACTTGTATGAACTGATGCAGAGTGCAGTGAGAAGAACCAAAAGGAAAATTTATACAAAGACGAGAGTATTGTAAAGACAAACAAATTTGAAAGACCAACTATAATTCCAGAGGGCTGATGCGGAAGCATGTTGACTACCTCCTGATAGAGAGGGGACGAACTCATCAAGGGGTACAATAAGTTTTTGGACATGACCAATGCAGGAATTTGTTTTACTTGACTAGGTCTATTTGCTTTAAGGATTAGGTTTTCTCTTCTTTTTTCAATGAGAGGCAGGGTAAAGAAAGGTGGTAGTGAAAGAAAACAAATGCTTGTTAATTGAAAAACAAAAGAAAAGTTGGGGAAAAAAAGAAAATAATAATGTGTATGCTTTATGTTTCCAGCTGAATAGAAAACTCCTGGAGTCTAGAAATCACAGAGAGAAAGTAAGAGAAAACAGCTTCTGTGAAAAAGATCTAGAATTTTTAGTGGAATGCATGCTCGATATGAATCAACAGTATGACATAGCACTCCTAAACCTGATAGCCCCTTGAATACTTCAGGACCTGCTGTTTCATTGGTGAGGACTCTCTCTCTCTCCCCATGGAGTTTACAGCCCCTCTTTGCCGTAGGATGTTAGTCTTCATGAACTCCTGTGGCCCCAAATTCAGCACCTGGCTCAGCATCTAGCTCCAGAGTCAAAACCTTAGTTAAAAAACCTCCATAGACAAAACGTTTCCAGCTGACTAGGAACTACCGTGACATGTGCTCCATTGGCCAGGGTCATCTCCGCACTACAATTCGATCTCAAAGAAGGACTTCAGGCAGAGGTGGCCTACACGCAATAGTGGGCTATATCAGTATAAGCATAAAGTGAGGTGAAAGTCCCACTAAATTCCACCCTCACTGGATTCCGCTTTGGAGTATGACGCCCGGCTCTCAGTACCACATTTGAAGGACTGTGAGGAAATGGAACATGACCCAAAGAGGGGGAATAAGATGGGAAGAGAACTGGAAACTGGGCCGTAGAAGATGTTGGAGGAACTGAGGATTTTAGTTAACCTGGAGAAGAGGTGACTTAGAGGAAACACGATAGTTGTCTTCAACTATCTGGAAGAATGTCACCTGGAAGAGGGATTAGATTTGCTCTATGTGGGCCCCAAGGACAGTCTTAGATTTCAGCTAGATGTGATTAAAATATCCCTTAAACAAACAAACAAACCCAAAAAACCTGTTTGAGAAGGAGATGGAATTTCTCAACAAGTAGTGAGTTCCCCATCATTTAAGTAGGTGGCTAGGGGCTAGTTGACAAGTAGGGGCTAGATGACACTTCTTTTGCATATTGTCAAGGAAATGAATACTCAAGCACCAGCTAGGTGAGATGACCCCTGATCTCTGCTTGTTGAAACCCTGCCCATTTTCGAAGGTTCTGCTCTAATGCCACCTCCTCCTAAAACCAGTCCAAAGTGGTCTGTCCAAAATTTGCAGAGCACTTTGAACTTTTCTTAGTTTTCATTCTATTCATTTCTGCATGACATCTATTATATAGTTATGACATATCTGTGTATAAAATACCCCCATATTAATTTCTGATAAATTCTGTAACTGCAAGTGTTGGCACCAGATCCACCATTAAAATATAAGCTCCTTGAGGGCAGGGACTGTTTCACTTTTGTCTTTGTATTCCCAGTGCTCAACCAGTGTTGGCACAAAGTACGTGCTAAATAAATATTTGTGGATTGATTCATTGATATGTGTCGTATGGCCTTTGCCATACTATATCATGGGCAGCCCAGTGTTACAACAGGTAGAGTGCTGCGCCTGGAGTCAGGAAAACTTAATTTGGACTCAGGCACTTGCTAGCTGGGTGACCCTGGGCAAGTCACTTAACACTGTTTGCCTCAGTTTCCTCATATGTAAAATGAGCCAGAGAAGGAAATGTCGAACCACTTCAGTATTTTTGCCAAGAAAACCCCAAATGGGGTCACAAAGAGTCAGACATGCCTGAAAAATGACTGAACAACAACAATAAATATGACATCATCACGAATGAGATTATATAGTGCTTTAAGATTTGCAAAGCTCTTGAATACATTTTCTCCTTTGGCCTTCACAGCAAACCTACAAGGCAAGTGCTACAGGTATTATTATTATCCAATTTTACAAATGAGGATACTGAGGCTTGGAGAAGGTAAATAGTTGCACCAGAGCCACATAACTAGTGTCAGAAGTGAGACTGAAGGCCAGTTAGTTATTCCTGTCTTCAAGCCCAGCCCGCTATTCACTCTACTATGGGAGCAGGGGCTGTGTCTTCATTCTCATCACACTCTTTCCCTCTCCCGCTCCCCACACACCCCCGTGTTTTGCACATAGTTAATGCTTAATAACTGAGTGGCTTCATGGAGGCTGCCACACTGAGCTTCATCCTTCTCTGGTACCATCCCCAGGGAGATCTGGGAGGGACAGTCTCAAGACTGTCTCACTCACCAGAAAGGGTCAGGGGTTTGTCAAGCTTCATGAGAGCGATGTCATAATCATCCTGCTCATCAGAGTAGTTGGAATTGATGATGATCTGGGCGACTGAGGCTGCTTCAGGCAAGTGCAGCAGGTTAGTAGTCCCAGCATACACTTTCCAGCCCTCCAGGATCTTCTCTCGGGTCCTGTCAGAGAGAGAGAGAGAGAGAGAGAGAGAGAGAGAGAGAGAGAGAGAGGTTGTCAGCAGCCACCCACCTGCCCAGCCTAATTAGCAGCATCCGCTTCAAGCAGATAACATCAGTTTGTGCCTATGGCAGCCTGATTAGAAGATCAGTGGCGAATGGGATGGCTTGGGAGGCGCCTTCTAGGAACAGAGTTTCCAGGGGTCCAGTTACTCTGAGCTCCTGTCCTTTACTATACAGCCCCTCTGCATATGCAGAGTACCTGCTGTTACTTCAGCACCTCTTGCCCTCCCCTTCCCCCACCAAAAAAAAAAAGCCAGAGACTAGGACAGCTGTCAGTCCCTGCCACCCCCTTTCCTTGTATCACCTATGCAGGGATGCAAGTAGGAAAATTTCCCTATGAGCTCTGATTCAGTGGTTGCTGCCACAAACAAGCCTCCTTTAGTTTCATTTCACAAATGTAACCTCCAACTTCTTAGTTGTGTTGAAGATACTCCTGCCCCTCCCATCTTCCCCTCCTGTAGGGGAAGTGCCTCCAATAGGCACTAAATCAATGGTTAAAGACTGACTGAGTGGCTTCATGGAGGCTGTAACACTGAGCTTCATCCTTCTCTGGTGCCATCCCCAGGGAGATCTGGGAGGGACAGTCTTGAACTCACTCACTCACCAGAAAGGGTCAGGGCTTGTCAAGCATCATGAAAGCAATGTCATAATCACCCTGCTCATCAAAGTAGTTGGAAGAGATCAGGAGTAGTTTAGGGGAAAGAATGTTTAATTTGGAATCACAAGACCTGAATTTGAATCTTAGCTTTCATACTTGCTACTTTCAGAATCTCAAGCAATCATTTAACCTCTACCGGCCTCAGTCTTCTAATCTGCAAAATGAGTGCATTGGACTAGAGCTCTAAGATACCTTCTAGCTCTAGACCTGAGGTTCCCAAACTTATGTGGTCTACAGCCCCCCTTTAAAAAAATACTCAGTGTCCTCCTGGAAATCTACTTTCTTTAACCCTTTAACAGTTTTTTTTTAATTTGCATCATTCAAAAAATATAAAACATATTTTTTTAAATGACACATCTTAAATTTAACAATTTATTATAAATTTGTGGGTTTTTCCTACATTGAAATTTTGATGATGCAATATTGCATCATGTAACCATATAGTATCATACTATAAACAAGTCATTACATGCACATATTCCTGCCGATTCATACCGGACTTCCCGACAATGAGCGATAAGCTCGCCTGCCAACACTTTCTTGTTAAGATCTATTGGCAGACTTGACCATTGATCAGTTATAACTTGCATTTTATATGTTTATTTGAAAAATAGTAATCACTATGACTTTAACTCTGTTACACAACAGATGAAACATGTAAAATTGTTTTTTGAAGTTTTCATCTCTTCTCTTCTTTCCTTATGATTCCACTGCCCCCTGATTTTTATACAATGCTCCCCAGTTGCACCGGAAGCTACTACTACCCCCCTGGATTGTTCCAGCACCCCCAGGAGGTGGTATCGCTCACTTTGGGAATCTATGCTTCTAGACCTATGATCCTATGAGTCATGTAATTTCATCCTCAGTCTATAAATTAGATGAGGCTCCTGAGAGAGCAGCAGCAGCATCTTCTAACTTTGCAGAAGTCATCTAACCTAATTCCTGACTGGGAGCATGACTTTATTTGAGACAGCCCAGATGCACGGGGGGTGAGAGGGAGGGGAGGAAGATTCTTCATTTGGGAGTGTGCCCTAGCCCTTATTAACCATCCCACTGCAGTTTGGAAGCCCTCTGTTTCCTCCCCTGCCCGGTCCAACCCAGTCCACCCCCACCCCATCCCAGATCATCACTTACACAAAGAAGCAATGGGCAGCTGTGAGCACCCACTGGGCATCAATGAGGGTGCCCCCACAGATGTGGGTTGTGCCGAACTGGAGACTAACTTGCCAGGGCCACTTGTTCTCAGGGGCCAGGGCCCCACCCACAATCCGCCCAGTCATGACCCTCATACCACAGCCTGTGAGGGAAAGAACAATGGGAGAGACCCTAGAAACTCTGATTCTTCCCCATTACCCTCATTCCTCAACCTAGGCACCATGCTGTTCCCCCTTCGGCCCAGGAAGGGCTGAAAATGCCCCACCCCTGCAAAACACACCTCCCACACTTGCTGCATCATGTCCTAAATATGACCTGGCTTTATCATTTCCTAGTCCCACATTGCAAAACTTCAGGGACCTGCCCTGGGCATCAGTCACTTTGAGAGTTATCTAATATTTGGAGATTCAAATGAGATAACACATGTAAAGCACTTTGCAAACCTCAAAGTGCTACATAAATGACTATTGTTAGTTTTATTATTCTCTCTGACCTCAGAAGTCTATGGTACTTCTTCCCCTTTTCAATCTAATTTTAATGCCCCTCTTGAGCAAGATATAATTAGAGGAATAAATCTGTTTTTAAAAATAATCATGTGATATACTTCAAAGCCCAGATTAAATAAACTTTGGATTATATTATATTTTTTATTATCCACTCCATAGCTCCTTTCATTTAGGATAAGTAACTGAGGGTTAAGTAAGACTCCTTATACTGATTTAGCATGTCCAAACAATACATTTCATCAGTGAGTTTCTTTGTAGGTAATATGCAGGGGTGCAGTAGATAGAGTGCCTGGAGTCAGGAAGACTCATATTCATGAGTTCAAATCTGGCCTCAGATACTTACTGGCTGTAAGACCCTGGGCAAGTCATTTAACCCTATTTGCCTCAGTTTCCTCATCTGTAAAAAGATCTGGAGAAGGAAATGGCAAACCCCTCCTGTCTCTTTGCCAAGAAAACCCCAAATGGGGTGGTGAAGAGTCAGGTATGACTTAAAAGGACTGGATAACAACAACAACATGTGTTGGTAAATGTTTTAACAAGGAAAAAAATATTTTTTTAAGTAATCAACACGAACACTTTCTGAGGTATAGAAAATCAACAAAATAACAACTCAAGCCCTGATTTGTAGCCATTGCCTATTGTTAGAGCTGGCTCAAGCACATGCCTGCCAATAGGGGAGCAAACTTCAAATCACAGACTGGGCAGACTTCCTCCAGAGGTCAGTGGCCCAGAAGCCAACAAAGAAGTTTACACTTTAATGATGAGGGTGGAGGGAGCAAGCTCTAGGCTAAGTGAGCCTCTGGGTACTCTGCCCAGTGCCATGGGTGCCTATGGCCTGACCCTGCACTAAGGCATGGGACGACATCTAGATCCGGACTAGGATTCCTGCTTACCCCTGTTCCTTTGAACAGTGTTGTCAGACTCAAATAGAAAAGGGACCAGTAATCTGTGCACAAGGATCCCTGCAGGCCATATATTGACTTAGTTTTAAAATGTTACATTATCTGTATTTTATTGTATTTTTATTTATTTTATTATATATTTCCCAATTACATTTTTGTCTGGGTCAGGCTGCGTTTGAGAGTAAGCTACATGTTTGACACTTGTGCTTTATGATACAATAGATTCAAATTTCCCTTCTGGGCCGAGTATATTAAGCTTGGCACTGGCTAGTCAATGGAATGTGAAGCCATCACATCATAGTATCACACTGAGGGATTCTAGCCCTGAATCAAAAGCCTGTTGATCTCCTCTACCCTAGCTTGCATGCAACCTGTAATGTTATTAGTAAAAATAACAATGGCTAACATCTACAAAGTGCTTTAATGTTTGCAGACTGCTTTATAAATGTGATTTCATTTGATCAGCATAACAACCCTATTATTATTCCCACTAGATGCTTTTATTATCCCCACTTTACAGATGAGAAAATGAAGGCAACCTGAGGTAAAGTGACTTGTCCAAGGTCACACAGGAAATGGGCATCAGAAGTGGGATTTAAACTCAGGACATCTGACTTTTTCTCCTGCATCTGAGCAATGTTAGAGTGGAGGTAAATTGTCCAAATAATAATTGTAATAATGACTCATGTTTCTATAGCCCTTCACAGCTTACAAAACACTTTCTTCACAATAGGTCTATGAAATAGGTAGTGTACATATTATTATTCCCATTTCACAGATGAGAAAACTAAAGCTCAGAGAGACAGCATAGAATAAAGGATAGGGCACTGGTTTTGCAGTCAGGAAGAACAGAGTTTAAATTCTGCCTTAGACAGTTATTGGCCGTGTGACCCTGAACAAGTCATTTAACCTCTGTTTCCTCATCCTGTAAAATAAAGGGATTGGACTTAATGGCTTCTAAGTTTCTTTCTAATTCTAATTCTATGACCCTATAAATGGCTCACACACAGTCACATAACTACTAAGTATCAGAACTACAGCTTGAATTCGTGTCTTCTGATTCTTTCGGCTACTGCCTTGATGTTCCATAATAAAGCCTCATCTTTCACATTGTCTCTGGCCCAGAGCCACTGAAGCCTGGCCACCCACTCCCCTCGACGACCCTACTGCCGCTTTTAGCCCAAGTCCGGTTCCTAGCAGGTGCCAGGTCTACCCTGAGCCAACAAGAAGGGAATCTTCTTACGGGTGCACTGAAGAGAGACGAACTGATGGGAAGGGCAGTCAGACCTAGAGAAGGAGATACACAAAGAGGTGGGAAGCGAGAAGGACAAACCCGCCTCCCCCAGGAGCCTTCCTTGATTCACCACCAGTCAATCGTCTGCATTGCTACTGATGAGGCCATCCTGTCAGAATTCACTTCCCACAAAAATCTGTTGAAGTTGTACTTGGCAGACAAAGCTGACTCCCTGCCAGTAGAGCTGACTGTTAACCACTGCTCTTAGTCATCTACCCTTTCTCACCCAGTTGCTTTTGTGGCTGAAGACCTGTGTTTGCCAGGATAGATGGATTCCACAGTTTCTCTCTGTGTGAATCTGATTTGTGGAATCTGTGAGGGTGGTGTAGTTGAAGGGGTACTAAGGTAGGACTCAGAAAACCTGCATTAGAATCTGCCACCTCCTGGCTGTGTTACGTTAGGCAGATTGCTCTGCCTTTCTGTACCTCAGTTTCCCTATCTCTAAAATGAGGGGATTGGACTAGTTGATATCTCAGTTCTCTTTGAGTTCTAAATCCTACCACTGGGTGAATCATGCTTATCTTCTAATGGCTGAGTCCCCTATTCACTGCTGTTAGTATTCCTCAGTCTAGCTCCAAATAGGCGCTCAGGAAATGCTGTCCATTGACTAATAGTAAGGTCCTGGTGGTTTCAGGACCAAGGTGTATCAGATAAACCCACAGGTAGAAACTGTATCCAAAGCATAGTTGGGAACTCACCACACAAGCCCTGCCAGTTCTTAGAATTCCCTCCATTCTTCCGTCCCACTAGTATATTCACCCTCCCCATTCTTCTATTCAAAATCCACTTCCTCCTAGCAGATTTTATAGTGTAAACATTGTGATGTTTACCTTGGCATTAGCCTTATTAAATGTTATATTGTGCTCGTGAGGTCAGATCAGCCACTCTGTCCTAAATGTCAGCTTCCCAGAAGCCCAGAAGGTAGGAATTATGGCCATGTCCATCCTAAATAGGCATTGCATATGTGCTTGTAGACCATAAAAGGAAGGGGAGGATTGAATTTCCTGTGACCTCCATAGATGTCACAAAATCATAGACTAACAGAATCTCAGAGTCAGAAGGGCCCTGCTAGGGCACAGAACTGCAGTTACCTAGGGTTAGAGCCAGAAGGAGTCTTAGAGGCCACTTATAGACAAAGAACTTGCTACCCAGAGAGGTTATGTGACTACTCCCAACTATAATTGAACAGGAATCCCCTTGATGACCTTCACAACAAATCATTATAAGCAGATCGCCTTTTTTTTTTAATAGCTCTAATTGTTAAGAAGTTTTTCCTGCCATCAAGTTTAAATTTGCCTCTTTGCAATTGCCCTTACTCCTAGATCTGCCTTCTAGTGATAAAAATAACCAATTCAATCCCTTTTCTAGATAAAACCCTTCCTATACTAGAAGATAATGATCATGTTTCCTCTCCACCTCCTACTCCCCAACTAGCTGGGGACCCAACTGGAACTGGCCAGTGGAGCAACACAGCTTCCTTCCTTCCTTCCTTCCTTCCTTCCTTCCTTCCTTCCTTCCTTCCTTCCTTCCTTCCTTCCTTCCTTCCTTCCTTCCTTCCTTCCTTCCTTCCTTCCTTCCTTCCTTCCTTCTTTCTGTCTCTCTCTCTCTCTTTGTCTTTCTGTCTCTGTGTCTGTTTCTCTCTATCTCTGTCTGTTTCTCCCTCTTTCTCTCTGTCTCTCTTTGTCTGTCTCTCTGTCTCTGTCTCTCTTTCTCTGTGTCTCTCTCCCCCCAACCCCACCACCGTGCCACACTGTTGACTTATATGTCCATGGCTATAATCCAGGAGTCTCAAGTTCCACACCTAATCCAAGTTGGAGAAGATTCCTAACATAGACACTGGTCCTCTTGCCCTCTGGCCCACCTGATAGGTGAGAAAAAATGGAATATGGAGGGACAGGTGGCCTCTAGACAAATTGGTAGCACTCCTCCTCGACCCTTACCTGTTGATGCTTTCCTGGATGGTGTTGTTGTATTCAGACACAGAGTAACTACTGGTGAACCCTTGGTGAACAACTTCACCTGTGTGGTGAGCACTGCTAAGACAAAGGAGAAAAGAATGAGGCCCCTTGAGCCACTTGTCCCTCCCCCATGACTCTGAATTCTGACACAGGCCTGAAGTCAAAGGCTAAGCGTTCCAAATCATAACCCCTTAACATGGATGGAACCCCTTCTTATCCCCTGCCCAGAGCATTTTTGTCTATTGTCTTATTTCATCCTTACAGCATCACTGAAAGGTAGATAAAGCAGAAGTTATTCTTCCTATTTCACAGATTAGAAACTGAGATGGAGAGAAGATAAGGAGCCACTCCCTCTACTCCCTACTGAGAAAACTTTAAGTTTCAATACTGGCTTCTGGGAAAACGCCCTTCTGACTTCTGGAGGAGGTCTGCTCGGCCTGTGATATGAGGGACATCACTCACATTCTCTAGCATCAAAGAAACTCACTCATTAAATGAATTGCTTGAACGTGCTTTGTCTGGATAAGGAGTCTTAGAGCCACAAGGGTGAGGGTCAGAGGACTGGTCAAAAGTCCCAGGCCTGGTCTTTTATGGTAGCTTATCTCCAAGGAACACAGAGTCCTCCTAATTAAGGTTTCTGTGAGAAATGCTTTTGGTATTGTTAAGCTTTTTGGTGTCATAAATTTCTTTGGCAGTCTGGTGAAACCCATAGACTCCCTTTTTCAGAATAATGTTTTAAACTTTTTAAATATATAGTTATCAATTTTTTTTTAAAAGTTTTGATGAAGACCTCAGATTAAGAACCCCTGACTTACACAAATGTTCTGTCACTTGGCTGTGCCTGGATTCAGGAAGACCTGGGTTCAAATCTAGCCTCACACATTTACTAGCTGTGTGACCCTGGACAAATCACCTGACCTGTTTGCCTCAGTTTCCTTAACTGCAAAATGAAGTTAATAATAGCACTTACCTCGAAGGGTTGTTATGAGGATCAAATGAAATAATTTGTGAAAGCATTCAGCACTGGCCCTATATCAACTCTTAGTTCCTTCTCTTTTCTCATCTTCCAAGATCCTTTTCAAGACACAGACACCTGTGCCCATAAACACATTCAGGCACATTCAAGCATTTACATGCTTGACCAGTCCCATGCATAGTCCTATACTGGTGATAGCAAAAACTCAAAAACACAGAGGGCAGAAGGAGAGCAGATATTTTGGCTATAAATCACGTGATACTATGAATCCCAGGCATTATCTATACGTACTTCAACCTAGTAAAGCAATTACTTTGCTCTTCCTCATAGAGGTTCCCAGCATCCTTGGTCGTCTCTCCCCACATCTCATTTCCCTTCTAAGACAACAAGATTATAGGATTTGGATCTGGAAGAAGGCTTCATGTCACTTCGTCCAACCCTACCATTTTGCAGATAAGGAAACTGAGGCCCAGAAATGTGAAATCATTTGTCCAAGACCTTATTTAAGGTCCTTCTATTGCATGAGACTCATTTAATCACTGAATATCAGGTGTGAAAGGGATATGAGAATTCATCTAGTCTACCTCACTGGCCAATATAAGAATCTTCTCCATGACATCTCCAACAAGTTGTGATTGAGGCTTGACTCCAATCATCTCTAACGGTAAAGTGTTCCCCACTTTCAAGGTGGCCAGTTAGACTCTTAGACAGTTCCATGGTTAAGAAGTTCTTCCTTAGGCCAGGAAGAAGGTCAGATAAGCAGGATGGCTTTGAAAGTTATAGGTTGATCTTACTACATGCTTTTTTTTTAAAAAAAGCAAGTTATAGATACTTGAGACCTGCAAATTCATGTACAACCCTCTTCCTGTTCTACTACGTATATACAAATACAATATGAATTCTATTTGGTGTTTGTTAAGATCAGAATAAAATTTAGAATTAATTCTTAAAAATGTTCTTCCATAGACTTATATGAACTGATGCAAAGTGAAGTGAGCGAACCAGGAGAACATTGTACACAGTAACAATATTGTAACAGTAATCAACTGTGAAAGGCTTAGATGCTCAGATCAAGACAATGATCCAATTTCAAAAGACCCTTAATGAAAAATGCTATCCACTTCCAGAGAGAGAACTGATTAACTCTGAGTATAGATTGAAGCATACTTTTTTTACTCTACTTTTCTGGTGGGTTTTTTTTTTATATGTGTATGTGTTTTCTTTTTCAATTTGGCTAATATGTTTTGCATGACTTTACATATATAATTATTATTATGTTACTTGCCTTCTCAAGGGGTGGAGAAAAGATGGAGAGGAAGGAGAGAATTTGACACTTGAAATTTTAAAAAATGAATGTTAAAAAATGTTACATGTAATTGGGAAATATTTAACAGAAAAAATAAAAATATATTTACAGTAAAAAAAAAAGTACTTCCTCATATGAAACTAAAATCTGCCTTTCTGTAGCTTCTGTCCATTTGTCCTAGGGCCCTCTTGGGACCCAGGAAATCATTTCAGGATGGGTCCTTTCATCCCTGTGCTAGAACTCGTTCAAAAAGGTTTTGGAAAACCGATTGTTTTCAATGTGAAAATTTAATGCCTCAGAAATGAGCAAAAGCTACAAGTCAGGGCTTGGTTTATTGTTTTGTTGATTTCCAGACTTAAGAAAGTAGTAAAAAAAAATGTTAATACTGTTGATGAAACTTTAAAATGCCATGCATTGTTTTTCCCCCTAGAGAACTAATTGTTAAGTATTTACCCTTGAGTCCTTTTGATCCCAGCCATCCTATTAAATAGCACAGCAGCCTCTTCAGAGAATGCTGTACAGCAAGACTCTGGCTTTCACAAGTCTTGGAGTCAGGAGGCCCTGAGTTCAAATGCAACCTCAGACACATAACACTTACTAGCTTAAGTCACTTAACCCCGATTGCCTCCTCCAAAACCAGAAGTCTTCTTAGGCTAATATTTAGCTACTACTAGGGTTAGAAAGCTTTGGAAGCTGAAGGGGAGGTGTTGGAGGGAAGGTAATAGGACATAAAGGCAAGAGGGCATGGGCAAAGGTGGAGGATGGATGAAAGGACATAGTACCTCTGAAAACCAAGTTGTTGGCAGATCTTTTCAGAATAGGAGTTGTTCCAGCCATCACTGCAGACAGGCAACCACTGGCGATGGACTCCAGAATAGAGTCTAAGCAGAGACTTGTCCCAGTCAAATCTCACTGGAAAGAAAGGAGAAAAGACCCTGAGTCTTGAGATCTATGGGCTTACAAGCCATCCTCACAGAACAGAAACTAGGAGGAAGGAAGAGCTAGACACACTGAGGGCCTGAACTCTTGTTTGGAGAGGTAATCAGGAGCCATTCTAGGAAGCTCTTTATTAGCTGAGGTCCAGGCATCCTGAGAAAGTATATGAAAGTGAGAATATCCCTCAGTTGCTATGTTGGTTAGTTTTCCTGAAACGCTTTTTTTCTTTCTCCTTTTTTAATTTTTGTGACACGGGATGGCTTTCTGGGGAAGGGAGATTGAGTCAGTTAGCCAACAAGCATTTATTAAACTTCTACTATGTGCCAGGCACTGTGCTAACTGCTGGGGATACAAAGAAAGGCAAAACAACAAACAACAACAACAACAACAACAACAACAACATCAAACCTGGTCCCACCTCTCAACGGGGTCACAACTTAATGGGGAAAACCCCATGAAAACAACTACGTACATACAAAATATATACAATCTGTAAAATGAGCCGGAGAAGGAAATAGCAAACCACTCCAGTATCTTTGCCAAGAAAACTCCGAATGGGGTCACAGAGACTCGGACATGACTGAAACAAGTGAGCAATGACAATAACAACAACAACAAAAAGTGGGTGGGGGTAGTCTCAGAAGGAAGATTAAGGGGGACTGGGAAAGGATAGAGGAAATGAAGATGATATAACAAAATCAACGAAATCATTATAACAAAAAAAATTTTTTAGTTGTTCTTTAAAGAAAGAAAGAGATTTCCTGGGTCTTAGTTTCCTTAACTGTGAAATGAGGTGTTGGACTAGATGGCCTCAGATGTCCTTTCCAGCTCTAAATTGATGTCTGCACTCCTAATCCCCTAGGCCATTGGCCAGACTGTCTGTACCTAGGAGAGCCACAGCCACTCACTGCGGGTGGGCTGGAAAAACTGCTAAGGAATACTGCTCTGGGAAGAGGTGTGAGGCCCACAGAAGAGAGAGCAGGGACCTCCATCTGGGCCAAGTTCATAAACATCAAAGGACATGGCATCCTAAATTTGGAACTGGAAGGTACTTTAGAGACCAATGAATTCAACCCCCCCACTTTTTTACAGAGAGAAAACTGAGGTACACTTTGTCGATTTGTCTCTCCCCCGCACACACACACACATAGGCACACATGTGGGTGGAATATGAACACATGCGCATGCATAGATATTCACAGACATGATTGTGCAGCACCCTGAAGGAGGATGGGGTGGGCATAGGAGCCTTTTGTTTGTCCCACATTCATCTTCACACTTACAGACCCCCGTGTGTACCAGGCTTAGGCAGGATCATTCACATTTACAGCCAGAGTGCTGCCCACCCACCCTGACCCCACTTACCACAGCCCAGCTCATCACTTTTAAACTTGCAGTCCACAACTCCATCACAGCGCACGGCATTCCTGTGGCAGCTCTCCACGGGCTCCTTGTACTTGATTGCTGTGTGGCCCTTCCAGAAATAAACTGGAAAAGGAACAGATGTGTCTTTCACTGTGAGGACTGAGGACCCAGGAGACTCAGCAGTCAAAGAACCAGACAGGGAGCTGGGTTCCTCTGGGACTCTGGGGTTCTCCTTCACCATTGTCAAAGAATGGATAATCTGCAATGCTCCCCAAAACTCTGTATGTAGCATGGAAAGCAATCTCAAGGAAACTGAGGCAAGTCATTTCCCTCACTCTGGGACTCAGTTTGTGAAATGAAAGACTTGGACTGGTAGATTTCTGGTGTCCCTTTAAACTACAAAGGGTCAAGGAGGCAGGGTGGAAAAGTGGAGAGAGAGCAATGAACTTGGACCTGCAAAGATCTAGGTTCAGATTCTGCCTCTGACATACTAATTGTATGGGCAACATACTTAAACCCTCTGAACCTAGGTTTCCTCATCTGTAAAATCAGGATGTTGATATCTATACTACACACCTCATAGAGTGGTTGTGAGGTCTAATAAAGTAGTGTATTTATGATAATAGATAAGGTAAAAGTGGAGTGAAAACTCTAAATGTTAATTTTTATTATAAGTAACTATAAATCCAGACTCATTGGAGGAGAAGCCCTCTATGCTGTAGATGCCATACATCCCAGGTACGTCTTTTAGTTCATCAGGATCCATCAGACAGAAAATCCTCTTGGGATACTTCCTATACACTAACACATACTAACTCTGTCCACCTAACTGGCTCCCACCATCTTCCAGAACCTCAAAAGTTATTGGGTTCTTTTCTTCTTTCTATCCATTCAATGAAGGGGCCCCTCAAAATTTTATCCTGAGCCATTTAAATTCATTCCCTCATTAATTGTATTGCATTATCTCTAAAGCCCCTTTTGATTCTAGTGATTGATGACTACAAGTGGTAGACAATGTAGCATAGTCAATAGAGAACTGGCCCAGAAGCCGGGAGAATCTAGTTTCAAGTCTCAACTCTGAAAGGTACCAGTCTATGTGACCCCAGATAAGTTATTTAATCTTTCAGTGTTGTAGGAAACTCTCTTAGACTCTATGTTCCAAAGAAGCACTGACTTGCATTGGTGGAGAGAATTTCCTTACCTGTGACTTCATCAACAAAAGCACAGATACACTTATCCATTAATCTTTTGGTGAAGGAAAGCTCACCTATGACCACAATTGTAATTATCACCTCTTTGTGATGCATGGGATCATTTTAATGACTTAGAAATCTCTAAGTGGTGAGATGAATGCCATAAGCCACATACCACAATCCATCCCATTACTTCTTTGGTCATACCTTGTCTGTAACTATATCCAGCCCTGAAGTTTCATCCAAGTTCTAGTCCCTGTTACATCAAGTGACTCCAGGGCATCTCCACATCCTCATCATCACTCACATTTCTGTAGCGCTTTTAAGGTTTACACCTTCCTCACCAAAGCCCTGTGAGGTAGGGATAGTGAATATTATTATCTCAGTTCTACAGATGAGGAAACAGATTCTGGAGGATTGAATGACTGAAACTTATAGGTATGGAGCTTGGATTCTAACCTGACTACAAGTCTACAACTTTCTACTACACAATGCTATCCAGTACCTCCTCCCAATGAACACAACTGAAGTCATAACCCCACCCTCCAAACCAATTCCCTCTCCTAAATTCCCTATTGCTGATATAGCTGCTGCCATTCTCCCAGTACTACATCTGAAAGCTTGGCTTTGACTTTTCCTTTATTTCATACTTTCTAGCAAATCTGTTGCCAAGACCTGTCAATTCATCCTTTGCAAATCTCTTGAATTAGTCCTTTCCTTTCTGTTATCAATACCATCTCTCTAATCTAGACCTTCACCTCTTGGATAATTGTTAGAATCTATTGATCAGTCTTCCTGACTCCAGTCCCTCTATTCTCTACGTGCCCCAACCCCAAACCAAACCACGTTGAATACCATCTAATCAATTTTCTTTAAATGCCACTTAAATCATATCACTCCTTTTCTTAAGAACCTACAATCTCTCACAGCATATCAGATCAAGTCCAAACTAAACATACTGAGACTCAACTATGAGTCCATAATCTGGCCCCATTTTACTTAAACTAAACCTCTCTCTTATCACTCTTTGTTCCATCAGGAAGAGCTGCCTCCTCACTGACCACTGAACTGACTCCTATGTTTATTTTTACTTCCTTCACTATCGATGGAATTGTACATCCCACCTGGAATGCCCCACTTGGAATGCCCTTTTCTCTTTCTTGTTACCTATCCAAAGTATTGCCTTCCTAAGTCTACCTCAAGTCTTCCTTCTTCCTTGAAGTTTTCTCCTACAAATTCCTCACCCAAATGTCTGGTCTCAGATATTTCCTAGCTGTGTGACCCTGGATAATGCTCTTAACCCCTTTGAGTCTCAGTTTCCTCATTTGTAAGATAATAATAATAACAGTAGAATAATAATAGAATTTATGTAGCACTTTAATGTTTGCAAAGCACTTTACATATGTTACTTCATTTGATCCCTACAGTCCTGCGAGGAAGGTGCTATCGTTAGCCCCATTTTATAGATGAGGAAATTGAGAGAGTTAGAGGGCAAGTGACATGCATAGGATTACACAGCTAATAAGTGTCCGAGGCAGTATTTGAACTCAATTCTTCCTGACTGCAAGTCCAGTATTCCACTGTTCCACCTTGCTGTCTCCCGATGAGGATAAGAGACCAGTAGTACCTATCTCACAGGTTGTTGTGAGGAGCAAACAAGATAATGTATGTAGGTTGCACTGCAAACCATTAAGCACTACATACATGCTAGCTATTATTATTATTGTTGTTAGGGTAAGAGTTGAGTGGATGGTTCCCTGGTCACTGCCTGTGAAGGAATCACAGTATTTCTGAGTTGGAAGGAATCTCAAGCCATCTAGGCCAACCTATAGTGATCCAGAATCCCCTCTACACCACTCCAGACACATGGCCGTCTAGCCCTTGTCTGAAGGCCTCTAATGAAAGGGAACCCACTACCTTCCAAGATATTTCATCCCACTTTGGGATAGATCTAATGAGTACACGCATGACCTTGCCTGCCCAGCCCACCCATCAGCGGCAGGACTCACACAACAGGATGAGTGCGACGACCAGGGCAATGAGCAGCAGGACACAGCCAACGAAGGTAAGTCTTTTCTGGCTCCCCTGCCAGGTGAGCTTGGGCATGGACACACCTAGGAGTGGGGTGGCAGCAGAGGAAGGTGAGGTTCTCGGGAGGGATACAGGCACCATGGAAGAAGGAGAAGGAAACAAGACTGGCCCATTTGGGCCCGGTTAGGGCTTTGACTCTTCACCCAAAAAAAAAATCCCTCAACTAATTGAATGATTGACTGGAGCTTTCCCAAATGACTACCATTTAATACAAAGTACCTGGATGCTTGTTCTTAGTGTTGGGAGACCAGTTGGGTCTCGGACAGGTAGACAACGTGTCTAGGGTATTAGGGCACAGTTGGGATGGGCTAGCAGAGCAAGCATGAGTAAGACTTGAATACTGTCAGAACCAATCCTAAGTAATCCATTCAGAATGACTAATTTTCCTGTAGATCAGTAGTTCTTAACCTTATTGGTATAATGAACTCCTTTGACCATCAGTTGAAACCTATGGATCCCTTTAATGTATTTAAATAATGGAGGGAAATGCCAAATTTCATTTAGAGGTTATCAAAAATAAAGATGTAATTTCTTTCTTATCCAAATTCACAGACCCTCTGAAATCTATCCACAGACCCCTACAAAGAATCCTTTGCTGTAGAGGAATTACCCACCCCCATGGTCTGGGCAAGCCATGTTTCTCTCCTTATGTCAATCTCCTCCAAGAAAGGAAAACTTTTTCTCTTAGTCCTTCTTCACAGGTGGATCTTGCTCACCATCACTTCAACCCACAGCCAGCAGTATGTGGTACCAGGTGGACCCCCAGCTAGTTGAATAGGATGACCCAATGGAAAGAGCTGTGGTCTTTAATTCATTTCCTGGTTGTAATGGATTATCCCATGCCCAAGAAATCAGAACATCAGACAGACCAATAGCAGCTAAAGTTCTTATCTGTCTTACGGGGATCCTGCATTCCCCACCCCCTGCACTGCCATCGTGACCATGGTCTCCTATCTAATTACTTCTTCAATATCTCAATAAATACTCCATGACTGATTGATAGAACTTCATTGCCAGCTCTTCTTAATTCTCCTAACACATATAAACACACCCAAATTCAAGAAACAGAATCAATAGCAGGATGTCCCCCCTCTTATATGGGTTCAATATGTCTACTGTTTCCCTATGGCCCTCAGTCCAAATTTTGTTCCCTCCAACCCAATATCCCGTCTTACTTCTGCTTTCTGGGGCTGCCCGTACGGCTGGAGATGACCTTGTGGGAGTTGATCTGACAGCAGATCTCACTGGGGATGATCTAACCAATCTGACTGAGGATGCTCTGGCAGGGGATGACCTCACTGGGGATGATGCGATGGATGGTACCCTGGAGGGTGATGACCTTAAGGGGCATGATGCGATGGATGGTGACCTGGTGGGTGATGACCTTAGGGGGGATGATGCGACAGATGGTGACCTGGAGGGTGATGACCTTAGAGGGGATGATGCGACAGATGGTGGATGGTGGACGGTGGACCTCGTGGATGGTGACCGGGAAGGCAAGGCATTCTGAAAGGAGAGGAGATGGGTAGGGCATTTTGTGCATTTTCCCTGAGCTTTCAAATGTGTATAACCGCCAAATATTCCCAAACCAGGAGACAGAAGCTACACAAAGAGAGTCTGTAGTTTCTACCAAATTTCTTCATAAACAAAGGTCTGAGATGGGCATATCTTCCAGCAAGAGCTGGAATTACCTCAGAATCACCATAGCTGCCCCGCAAACTATCATCTCTAGGGATCTGCAAAGGGTAAGATGGGCTCCCAAGGGCAATGGGGCACTTCCCTCAGGTCTGCGGAGTAATCTGCCTTTTGGAGACTTTTCTGTGCAGGGGAATTAAAGCACCCTAGACCAGGCTACCAGATACTAGACATAGCCTAGTGTCTTGGCATTAGAGGAATAGGCCCTGTCCGCTGAGCAGAGGTTACCCATTGTAATTTAAAGAAAGCCTGCAGGCCATGATAGATAACATAGATAGATAGATAGAAAGATAGAAAGATAGAAAGTTAGATAGATAGATAGATAGATAGATAGATAGATAGATGATATACAGTCAGACAGATGATTTAAGTGAGGCAGAGTTGTGCAGTCATCAGCCTCACTCTCCCTTTCAGAGTCATTGAAGTCCAGTGGCAGGACAAAACTCAAGACAACTGGCGATGGCCCAAGATACAGTGGATGACCTTGGCATCTTTGATGTCTGACCAAGCTCTAAGCGCTCCACAGTGCCTGCTTCAGCTGCCTTCATGGCCATTGGAACAAATTGTTCTTATCGACCCATTCCACAAGGGAAGTCTTCACATGCTTGGAGTAAACATCCCTCTAACTCACCAATGGGTTTGAGGCCTGTTAGTTGCCCTAAACCTGTCTGCCAAGACAGTTCACCAGGGTGTGGCTGCTGCACATGCTACCACTTCTTGGAGCGACATGTGAGAGTTGGGTGAATCAGGTGACACCAAAGGTGGATGAGCAGCCTGAAAAGGGCTCAGCAAGCCCTCACACCTGAAATGCTAGTCCTCTCTGAATACCCCATACACCTCAGATAGATTACACACACACATACATACACAAATACATACATAGCATCTACTTCCCAGGGCTGTTGTGAGGATCAAATGAGATGATATTTGTAAAGTGCTGAGCATATGCCAGGAACATAGTAAGTCTTAATAAATGCTTGTTTCCTTCTTTCCTTCCTTTCTCCCTTCCTCTGATCCTTCCTTCCTTTCTCCTTCCTTCTCTCCTCCCTCCCTTCCTCAACTCTTCCTTCCCCCTCCTTTCTTTCTTTTTTTCTCCATTACTCCCTCCCTTACTCCCTCCTTCCCTCCTTTCCTTTCCTCTCTCCCTCCCTTCCTTCCTCCTTTTTTTCCTTCCTTCCATTTATTAAGTAATTTCTACATGATACTAAGCACTGAGCAAAACACAAGCAAATGAGTCAGTCTCTGGCCTAAAGCTCACTTTCTATTTTTATTTTATTTTATTTTTTTAATTTTTTTTTCCATATGCTTTTGAGTTGAAAATTTTTTCTCCCTTTTTCTCCCCCCTCCCACCCTCCCCAACACAGAGCACAATCTGACATAGGCTTTACATTTACATACCCATTGAACATATTTTCACATTAGTGAAGTTGTAAGTAAAAATTAAAACCAATAGGAGGAACCATCAGAAAGATGAAACAAAACTCAACTGAAGGTAAAAATAAGTGAGAGCGATTCGACTTCCATAGTTCTTTCTTTGGATGTGGACAGCATTTTCCACCCCGAGACCTCTGGAGATGTCTTAGATCCTCGTAATGCTGAGAAGGGTTCAGTTTAACATTCTTAGTCATTGCATAACGTGGCTGCTATTGTATACAAAGTCCTCTTGGTTCTGCTCACTTCACTCAGCATCAGACCATATAAGTCTTCCCAGGTTTTTCTGAAGTCAGTCTGTTCATCATTTCTTATAGAACAATAGTATTCCATTACATTCATATACCACAACTTGCTCAGCCATTCCCCAATTGATGGGCATCCTCTCAATTTCCAATTCTTTGCCACCACAAAAAGAGTAAAGCTTACTTTCTAAAGGGGGAAAATGATGCAAAAAGAAAGAGTTGGTAAGGGGAGGTGAGGCGGGTTGAGGGAGGAGAGGGGCACGGCTGTGGCTATTGAAGAGCTGGAGGATACAGTGAGGGAGTAAAGCAAGAAGTGACATGAGTGTGACTGGGGCGCCTCCTGAAGTGATGGCCAGGTCAGGGCCTGGGACTCACCAATCCTGAGAGCAGCCTCAGGACACAGACAATGGGCTATGTGCCCGTCACAGCTACCAGCAGGCATCAGCACTAAGAGCAGCTCTGCCCTGAGGAGACCAGGAGACCCAGGGCCTGGGTGGGGGTGGGGCTTCTAAATCTGAGGTACCATAAGTGAGAAAGCTAACTGGACCTTGGCGCCTGCAATTGTCCTCGGCTAGCATTTTAGAAGATGCTTCTCCCCCTCTTCACCCACTGCTGAACACTTGGCATAGAGAATATCCAATTTCCCCTTCCAAGCTCTGGCTGCCACCCTGGAGCAATGCCAGAGCCGGTGGTGCTGATACATTCCAAGCTGCCTGGCAGTTTTCCAGCATCCAGGCATGCTGCTCTCTGGTGATTCTCTCTGCCTGTGCCAGGCACCTGCTGCAGCTGGAGAGCATCTCCTCTTCCTCCCTCCCAAGCATCTCTGTAGGAACAGGAACAAGAGACCCAGCAGGCCAGCCCATGTGTCCCTGTGTCCCTTGTACCATTTCTGATCCAAGCTGCTCGGGCTGACAGGTGGATGAGGTAGAACTGAGAGGAGCAGGCTCACAGGAGCCCAAAATTTAGAGCTGGAAGGAAACTCAGGAAGCCATCTAGCCCAACTCCTCATTTTATAGCGTAAGAGGAATTGAAGCCCAGGGAGGTTATGAGAGAGGTGGCCAAGGTCACACAGGTAGGAAGTAGCAGGGCCAGGATGAAAATCCGAGTGTGCTAACTGCAAGTCATGGCATCCTTCCACTGTACCAAGCAGGTGGTTTGGGGAGGATGAAGAAAGTTGACTATGAGATCTAATCTGCTGTGCTATGTGAGTTTGAAAAAAAAAAAGTCACCTCTCTAGGTCTCCATTCATTTTAAAAGCATAGTAGAAAATCCCTTATAATTATTTCACTTTATTACTAGGGCTAATAATTAATAAAATGGTCTATCTAGTTATTAAGGTCCTTGCCTCAATCCAACACTAGCATCCCTTTGGGGTAGGAATCCAAGTACTTCTATCATTATTGTTGTTGCTATCTTATTATTGAGATATTAAGATGACACGGTGGTAAGACCTGGATTCAAGTCCAGCCCATGACCCATACTGGCTGCGTGGCCCAGGCAAGTCCTTAACCTGATGGCGTTCACAGGTAACACTCCTAGACTAAATTTTGCAGTGGCAGAAGTTTTCTTATTGCAAGTGCCCTATCCAGGTGGAAGCAGACATCCAATCCAAAAACTAAATCTTTTGATTCACATCTCTGAAGGTAAATGATGTAGTCATTTCTTCATGGTGAAGTTCTGAGGAAGGAAGGGCCTCTTTGGGATAACATCCCAGGCCCAGGAGTGGGGAAATCTGGGGTCCTATGCCATATTCCACTGGCTGAAGAAGGGGTTAGGAGGCTCAGTGACTTGGCAAGCATGTTGCTGGAGCTAATTACTGAATGTTTGCTAGTGGTGTTGATTTCCCGAACGATTTTCTCAAATGAGATATCTGTAAAGCACTTAGCCCAGTGCCTGGCACATAGTAGGCACTTAATGAATGCTCTTTTCATTCCATTGTGTCTGGCTTAAAGTGCTTACAGATATATTTGTCTAGCTGCTGATGATGATGATTACTGACCCATCGAAGGGTGGTTTTCTTAGCAGGGATTTTTTCACCTGGGGTAAAAACAGTTGGGGGAATGGGGAGAGATGAAGAGTGGTGCAGTATGAAAGACGGTCTGGGATCCACAATCCAGCTCTAGAAACCTCTCCTTGATTTGGCTTCATCCTTAACTTTCATTGGGTTATGAGGAACAGGCCACATGGGAGAAGGACCTCTCTCTCTCAAATCCTCTGAAGTCCCACTTTCCCCAAGCGGGAATGGGATGGGTGGTGGAGGAGCTGCAACACGTGAAGCAGGGGCAAACCAGCCTCTGGACCACATCGAAGAAGAAGCAACTCTCCTGGATGTTGACACTTAGGACATAGCCTTAGTTGTCCCATCCTGGTTCGGGTTCTGCTCTCATAAACTAGAGACTGGATTTGCAGAAACCTTCATAGTGAAGCCCTCTGAATGAAAATTTACACAGGGGAAGGATGTGTGCCTCCCCCATACATTTTCATCCTCCTATTTTCACAATCACATAAATCATTAGCCGTGGGATAGTGACTAAGCCTTGAAATACTTTTGCCAGAGTCCCTGAAGCATCTGCACAGTGTCCTAACACCATAGGCATCTGCCCAGCCTGCTCTGACCCCTTTCCTCTCTGTGTCCAACAGATGAGCCTTCCCCTGGTCTTGAGGAGAAAGGGGATGTACAGAATCTTCTCTGAACTGTCCCCTGAAATATAAGCCAGGCATCTGGTATAGTGTTGGGGGTGGGGAGGTGGAGTAACAGTATCTCTGATCCTTTGGGCTGGGGATGGAGATTCTCAGGTGGACTCCCCTTTAGTTCCTCCTGTCACCCTGGGTCTCCTTTCATCCCAAGAATTCCAGCCTGGAGAAACTACAGGAAGGGGGTGAGAAGGGCCTCAAAAGAACTTCATCATCTTTCCCTCCAGGGTCATTTTCCTCTAGCAAATAAGCAGGTTTAAAATATCTCTCCACCCACTGTCTAGGCTCCAGCAGGAAGTGGAGGTGATAGGCCCAGAGGTAAGGGAGGTATGTAAGGGGTGGAGTTATCAAGACGGTCCCATTTTCCCTAAAACAGAAGATGGTAGGAAAGGCCATGCTGAAGGTGAGCCCAGAATAGCTATAGCCCTGGCCTTAGCTAGC